ATTTATGTATTTTATGGACTCCCATATATCTTATTGATCACATCACAATGATTGTTAAAATCATTGATGACCCAGTGTTCTGTCAGATAAGCGTATCCATTGTCAACACCCGTTTATCCATTTAGCTTTGTGCGAAAAATACACTTTAAACTACCTCAATGGCCGTGCATCTCTTTAGTCATGTAAAAAAAAAAACTATTTAGATACTTAGTTTTTGGGGTTTTATGAAGGGATCTGACCTTAAATAATTTTTATGTACCTGACTAAAGGGATACACGCCCGTCGATGTACTTTTACATTTATTTTTCATACAAAACTAAAGAGATAAATGCAAATCTGACGTCTTGCACATGCGTACACTGGAAAAAATGGAAATCCAGATGAGTCATTTTTTCTTAAAATAACTGCATTTGCGCTTAGATTGATGAGGTAAAATACACATTTTGCCAATAGAACAAGGCAATTTACACCTAAAATAAGAAAACACAATTGCATTGTCTTATTACAAGTGCATATTATGTAATTATCTAATTTTAAGAGTAAAAATACTCATTCCATTGGCAAACTACTCAAATTAAGGGTAAATCTACTTAATTTAAGAAATTTCTACTTATTTCTGGAGCGTTTTTCCAGTATATTGACGTAGGTATGATGGTCTGACAGGGTATGCTCATCTGACAGAACACTGGCACTTGGAGTGTCTTGACAGAACATTTCATTTCTCTTATAAGGCTTTTTACCTTGTTTGTGAAAAAATTCCCCCCTGTAATGTATAGCTGAGTGTCATCCGCATAGTTAGAGTAACTTACCTTAATTTGACTTTAGTTAAAACCAAAACCAATTTTCTTGAGAGGCACCTTTTTTTTCTTACGATTTTTAACAATGAAAACTTCTCAAGTTTAATCCCAAAACATAAAATAAATAAAAACATAAAAAACATAAAAACATAGAATAGTTTTTATTCAGTTCCATTGTTTTGACTCAGAAGCAACATGATTTTTAAAACCAACTGTTTTTGTTGAAGTCTTCCTCTTTAAAGTCGTGTATTTTTCAGCAGGTCCTGGATGGTGCAGAATGACTTCTTTATTCTTTTTTGTGATCAATATGCACATTTTTCCTTAAGCCTTTAACGCTAATCCTTCTTTAAAGAAAAACACACCTTCTATTTTTAATTCTACAGCTCATAATTCTCTTCTGTCTTCAACGTATTTTTCTCTGTTCTTTCTGGATCATTTTCCTCAGGAAGAGGCGGCCAAGCAGAACTGCGGCTACTCCTGCTCCCCCCTCAACGTGGTGGACCTTATCGTAGACATCATGTTCATCATTGACATCCTCATTAACTTCAGGTTGGAATTGCTGAGGAGATCTTAGTGATTGCTGCTGTCTGATGAGTTGAATACTAGTGATATTGACCATCTCTCCCCTTCAGGACGACTTATGTGAACTCTAACGACGAAGTGGTGAGCCACCCAGTGCGTATTGCCGTCCACTATTTCAAAGGCTGGTTCCTCATCGACATGGTTGCTGCTATTCCCTTTGACCTGCTCATCTACCGCAATGGAGAGGAGGTAAATGATGCAGAAAAAACGAAGAGCTTCATGCGACAATCATAGGGTCATAGTAGTAGAAAATGACTGAAACCTGCAACAGAAAGCAGCTTAGCAGGGTTAAAGCATGCTCAGGTTAAAAGCTGGGGGTGAACTAAAAGAGGGGCCAGGGGAGGCCATGGACAATTTAACCAATATCCCCTATAGCAACCTCTACAAGGTGATATTTTGTTCCCGTTTCGATGAAATTTATCACCTCTGATGCAAGTGGTTCCTCTCTAAATCTGAGGATGGTATAAGTGATACTCTTAAGTGGAATGCTCTGTTTGGAAATTCGTGGAATAAGTGGAGATTCGATGCAGGGCCAGCAGATTCTGAAACAGCGTCTTTCCCACCTTCATCAGAAAGCTGAACTGTTGAGAAAACTCTAAATCATATATCATATTTATTGCCTAAGTATAATACTTGCCAAAGTATAATTTACAAAATGTTTTTTTTTTTCTTACAACATAATGAAACAGTCTTCACTCAATAGAATTCATGCAGTTTATTGAGGAAAGAGTTGAAACTATTTCACTGCTCTGAGGTTAAAAATGGGAAACTAATACTGTCCCATTTGGCTCCTACCGTCTTCATTGATGCTGTCCAGTCGAGCCTCCTGAGCCAAGGAAGTCGTGCTTTTCCTGACCACAGAGCTCGTTTTTACTCTGAAGATACACACACACCCAGAGCAGCAGTGGGCGCTCTGCCAGCGCAGTAATCAGCTTGTTATTTATCTGTCGTATGGACACTATGAGACCTGCTGAGTACAAGCAGCGAGGCGAGGCTGACTCCTCACTGTAATGAATGGCAGTAAAGATTTAGCACCTCCTATGTAGTTGATGGCTGTGGCCACACCAGCGCTGTGTGTAAATGGGTGTTTGTTAGCGAAAGGATGACAGCAGGTTCAATCCTGAAGCAAAAAGATGTCTGTTCTGTTCTTTTATTTCTATGTTATTGTTCTTTTGTCCAACTTTAGACGACCACCCTGATAGGCCTGCTGAAAACGGCTCGCCTCCTGCGATTGGTTCGCGTAGCCAGAAAGTTGGACCGCTACTCTGAGTACGGCGCCGCCGTCCTCTTCCTCCTCATGTGCACCTTCGCCCTCATCGCTCACTGGCTGGCCTGCATCTGGTACGAATGTAGAGGACGTTCTGATAGCTCCGAGAAAAAGGAGCAATGTTTAAAAATATAGAAATGATGTTTCATTTTGATAAATGAAATAAAGTCCATTCATAATGTTTGGGTTTTTGTTTCCAGGTATGCCATTGGTAATGTAGAGAAGAATGGTTCAATAGGCTGGCTGCACACCCTGGGCGACCAGCTGGGAAAACAGTTCAATGACTCTATTCCAGGTAAACTAACAAAAGCAGATTCCTGATTGGTAATAAAATATGTTGATTTTACACAAAGCCACAGAAAGGGCTAATTAGGGACCAACTTGCGTCATAAATAATAATAATAATAATACATTTTATTACAAAGGCGCCTTTCTGGACACTCAAGGTCACCGTATAAAGTCAAAACAGAGAATAAAACCATTAAAAAACACAAAGGCTGAGACGGGGAGATTAATATTAATGTTTGTCATAGAAATAAATGTTACTCTTTGGTAGCTTTTTAACCATTTGGTCAAACTGAAATTATCCAGTTTGTCATCCTGACCTGAAAGGGCATTAAAAATGGGTTTCATTCAGATCGTAAAATTTAAAATGTTAAAATCAGACCACATTCATATGAAATCAGAATTCTGCCTAAAGTGTAGCTTGTAACCTTAGCAAAGTGTCATAAACGGGGCAGATGGACCCAGTATTCAAGTTGAGACAGATAGTGGGAAAGTTCAAAACAGATGCAGAGCTGTGGACCACAGCGACTGCAGGGGGAGGCGGGGCACCATCCAATCACTGACACTCGGAGGGAGAAACTTACCTGGACATGATTATCAGATTATCATAGTCTACCAAACCAGCCGCTCAGAATGTCCCCAATGCAGCAACCTCAGGGTGCAGGCAGGAATCCCATCCAGGTCAGTGAAAACAGATCAGACAGGACAGTTCTTAAATCCAGGAGTCCTCAGCCCGGTCAGAGGTTCTGATCCACACAGGAACAGACAGATCCAGGGTTCCAGGATCCACAGAGCCTTAAGGCAGGTTCAGAGTTCTAAGAGTCGAGCAATGAGCTCAGAAAGAAACGCTCAGATGCAGACAGGCAGGCTCAGCAGTTGAGGGACAGAGACACGACATGGTACCAGGATAACTGCAGAACTTTA